AGAATCTAATGCAAATCCAATATGTCAACTTAAGCTCTAAATAGAAGTCCCTTGTGAGGGACACAGAATCCAGAGTTTTGGAAAGTTAACAAGCAACAGTCTTTTTTTTTTTTTTGTCGGTTGTGAGGCTTGAACTCTGGGCTTGGGCGCTATCCCTCAGCTCTTCAGCTCAAGGTGAGCCCTCTACCGCTTGAGCCACAGTGCCACTTCCAGTTTTCCAGTGGTTTATTGGAGATAAGAGTCTCATGAACTTTCCTGCCCGGGCTGACTTAGAACAGTGATCCTCAGATCTCAGCCTCCCGAACAGCCAAGATTACAGGTGTGAGCCACCGGTGCCTGGCTTAGCAACAGTCTTTTAAGGTAGTAAGGTCTTGACTTGCATAGTAACTGTGTTTGAATTAGGAACAAAGAAAAATCTGGCCAAGGCTCAAGACATTTATGTAGAGGTCTAAGCTGCTGGACTGGAGGAAGTGGGGCTATTAGGCTAGAGACTGTGAGGCCTGAAAGAGCAAGGAAGGTTTAGAGGGTCATATGTTGAATGGAGAGACTAACTTGGCTTGGGCTTTTAGTGTTACTGACAACACAGCATAACCTCAGGGTCTGGTCCCTGGGCTCTTTGCTTTCCATGAGTAAGGGAGCAAGTATGTGGCTTTCCTCCACCCCTTTCCAGGCCACTGGGGGCCTGGAGCTCCAGCACCTCCCCTATGGTGTTACAGCCCAGACATTGCTTTTGTTGCCTGACCAGCTTTACCTGTAGTACTAGACACATGGAGAGAAAGGGGTCCTAAGACTCAAAGAAGTCATGTGACCATTGTTGCCTGCCCCCTTCCCAGAACTGCTGTCTGTTTGCCCACATGCAAGAGGGAAGGAGAAGAGGTTCAGGTGGCACAGGGCCATAGACAAAGGGAGTGTGTGGGAGTCAGGGATGTGGGGATGAGCAGCCCAAGCAGCTGTCTATCGCAGCTGCCTAGTTGCTGGGAACTTCAGGCCAAGGACACAGTATCCCCACTTAACTGGAATCCAGAGATGGACTCCAGCATGACTTGGTCCTCTGGGCCAATATAGAAGGGAAAGCAGAAATTTAGTCTACACAGTTCATTTCTGGGTCTGAGGGTATCGCTTGGTGGTAGAGCACTTACTTAACATGTGTGAAACCCCGGGTTCAATCTCCAATAAAGTTCACCCTTCTACCTATAGGATATAGAATTATGCTTGGAATATAATAGCCCCATCAAAAATACTTAATAAATCCAGGTATAGTCACTTGCACCTGTAATCCTGGTAACTAGGGATTGCAGTTTTAGGCTAGCTTCAGAAAAATATTAGTGATATATGATGGTCACTCCTGTAATCCCAGCCACATGGAAGGCATAGGTGAACTGCAGTCTCAGAGATCCACCTAGGCCAACACATGAGATTTTATCTGAATAATAACAAAAAGGGGACGGAGAGGTGGTTCAAGTGATAGAGAATTTGCCTAGCAAGCACAAGATACATAGTTCCAACCTCAAACTACCAAAAAAAAAAAACCCAGCAGATGACTGAAAGCATGAATGAATACTTTAAAGGTAAGCATGATGTCATTCATTCTGCAAAACAAAGTAGGCCAGGTATTGCTTTATTTTGGGAGAATAGAAATCAAAAGAGCTTAGTGACTCTAAAACTAAACTTTAAGAGTTTAGTAAGATAACTCAATTTGGACATGGTCTTTCTATGGTATCATGTTGAATATTCTTCATATAGTAACCCATGTGACTCAGTGTGACCTTCCCTCTGGAGTCCGCTGGTATGAAAATAGCCTTTCAGGGACTCAGTTTCCTGAACATGTCTCAAGGTCAAGTCTAAACATTGTTCCTCTTTGCACACTTGGCATTTGTCTTTTCTTTTATCAGAAGCTTCTGGAAAGGAGCCCCTCCATCAGTCTGTGTGGCCACATCTACTCAGGAGGTCTTTACCCTTGAGCCAAAGAGGTAGGAGTTGGTTGCTTCCTTCTTGAAGTCAAGAAAAGAAATGAAGTCATATGCATTCAGTTCCTTTTTCTCTCCCCTTCAACACAAAGCTCAGTTCCTGGATTTCAGGCAAGCAAGTAATTTGTATTACAGAGTGAGCATCTTTGAAACTCAGAATCCTAAACAATATTTGTGGAAGAAGATCTCCAAAGCCAGGAGGAGGGCTTGAGCTGAACATCTGAGCTGGAGCATCTTAGGTTGCCTGGATAAACATCTATGAGTCCTTTTACTGGTCTCCTTCACAGCATTCTGCCTCTTTCTAGGGACAGTTAGGTCTAGAACACAGTACAAGTATCAGAAGAACTGGATACTGCTGCTGATTAGGTCACTTATTGTCCATGGGAATGACAATTCCAGTAGGCATCACAATGGAGTTGTAAGTTTACTTCAAAGTGCCTTTAAGCATCAGACAGAAATACTGCACAAAAAATAGTCATTACTATTTCAGATGATGAGGAGGAGGAGGAGGAAGAGGAGGAGAAGCCTTCCAGAGTGCCCCCAAAGCTTTCAGTTCTCAAAGCTTTCTATTCATTGACTCATTCACAATAAAGCCCCTACATGAATAAGGCACATACCAAGTGCTGAGGGAGAGATAAGCTATCTACAAAGATAGGTTCTTTGCTTCCAAAGAACAAAGTCTTGTAACAGACTACACCAAAAGATGTTCAGAGATCTCAGAGTTCTGAAGATCAGCAAGAGGAAAGTTCTGTGATGAGTTAGAGGTACTAGGATTATTCACTCAGGTGAAAGGAAGGCAGGAAAAGAAGGAAGAGGAATGTCATACTGCATAGCGGTTTGTTTGTCCAGGAGGAAATGAGGTCACCCTGCTCTCAAAGAATCAGCATGACTGCCCCCAGCCAAGTAATTCGGAGTCATGAGGGCTGCTGGGATGGGGGGTAGGTAGGGCAGGGGGGGGAGAATGTGAATCATGACAGCCTGTTGGGAATTTCCTAATATCTAGCCTAGGAGTTTCAGGGCAAGTCTTAAAGCTGTAACATCTCTGTTTACATTTTGATCACATTTATTTACAATTAATGGGTTCTCCGATCTAAACAAAACTGACCACTGTCTTGCAGAGGAAATAGCAAAGCTGACTTTGAGACCTATGGAACCTTTGACTCAGTGGTCCCTTGACTATCTGGCAATTCCAAAGGATGTTGGCTCACCTGCTTCATGCTGGATGGTTAACTTGCACTTTTCCCACCCAGAGGATGTCATCCTAGGCCCTTTGGCTCAAGTAGAGCCTTTCTTGTTTCTACCTCCTAATCTTCTCCCTACTTTCCTTCTGTCACTCTAAAGTAATGACATAGACCCAAATCCAGGGTTACAAGGTATAGGCAAGGAAAGGGACAAGGCTCCAGACCTTTGGAATTATCAGGACTCAGCCTCCTTTCTCCTATGAAGGAATCTAGTTCTTCTGGGTAGTATCAACATGACCCCAAACCCTTGACCCTGACACCATGGTCAAGAGATAGAGATGTCTGAACCCAGAGTCCTTTCTGTGCAACTTCACATGTGCCCAGGGTATGTGTGTGGGCTCACAAGTGTGTGTGCTTGTCTTCAGGAAGGGCAAGTGGTATCACTAGCACATGATCTGTCTTTCTGGAGTCCAGTAAACAATTGCTTTTAATCTTAATATAAATAATGCTCTGTGATGAAGTAGAATGCTGAATACAGCTGCATTTAAAAATGTGTAATTATCTTTTTTAGAATGGATGATACAGAGATGTGTCTTTAATTTCTGAAACAGTATAAAAGGGCATGTAGTGGAAAATAAGTCTTATCTTCTCCTTCAGCCTTCTCCCTCCCCTTTCTTCTACTGGGGACAGAGTGCTGAACTTCCTAACTCTCCATAGTTTTCAGCCCACCTACATTAATAAAGTTTTAGGACAGGTGCTGGTGGCTCACACATGTAATACTAGCTACTCAGGAGGCTAAGATCTGAAGACCATGGTTTGAAGCCAGCCTAGGCAAGGAAGTCTGTGAGGCTCTTCTCTCCAATTAACCAGCAAAAAGCTGGAAGGGGAATTGTGGTTCAAGTGGCAGAGCACCAGCTTTGAGCAAAAAAGTTATTGGACAGTATCGAGGCCCTAAGTTCAAGCCCCAGTACCTCCCCTCCCCACCCCGCCCCCAAGACTGACCTTTTTTTTTTAATTAAATTTTTTTTTTTTTTTTTTGCCATTCCTGGGGCTTGAATTTAAGACCTGGGCACTGTCCCTGAGCTTCTTTTGCTCAAGGCTAGCACTCTACCACTTGAGCCATAGCACTACTACTGACTTTTTCTGTTTATGTGGTACTGAGGAATGGAACCCAGGGTTTTATGCATGCTAGACAAGCACTCTACCACTAGGCTACATTCTCAGCCCAAGACTGGCCTTAAACCCAACAGCAAACCTCAATCAAGTCCGACCTTGCCTTGGGTCCTCTGATAACACTACAGTAAACTCGTCTTTCTCTCCTGTCGCCATTGGTCATGCTTGTGATTTGGGGGACCCCACCACTCGACTAAAGGCAGCCTGTTTCAGGAAACGAATGAATGTTGCGTTCATTTTCGAGTCGGTAGACGATAGGAGATGCGGCGATGATGCTGCAAGGGTCTGAAATCCCTCTCATGGCCGGTGGGGCGCGGGGGAGGGTGACAGGTTGGAGAACTGGGTGGTTGAGTCCGGAGGAGAGTGCGCAACCTCCTTGCAACTGGGGGGCAGTGGAGGGGGGGGGGGAGAAGACAGGGCAGAAAGCTGCTTTGAGGCCTGCACCTAGACCCAGTGAACGAAAAGAAAGGCCAAGAATTTCCATGTCTTCCGATGCCTCCGTGGGTCTCCCTGGCTTGGGCTCGAGTGGGGCCCACTGATGGTCAAAGCGGCGGAAGCCAGCGCGGCCAGGTCCCTGCGGGCCCCGAGGAAGAGCCGGGGGAAGGAGTGGGGCGGTGACCGGAGCGGGGCGGAGCCAGCCCGGGGCGGGTCCTCTTAAACGGCGGCGCCGCCCGCCAGCCTCGCAGAGCAGAGTGGAGCCCCGCAGCGCAGCTCGGTCGTGTTAACCCGGTCCCCGCGGTCCCCGCAGTGCCCGCCCCAACCCATCCGCCGCAGCCCTCGGTGAGTGCGGCGGCGCGTGGCGGGAGGCGCGGTGCTTCCCTTCCTCCTACCTTGGGCTGCCCTGGCTGCTGCTCAAAGGCTGTCGCCTTTGAATCGCCGATCCTGTCCCTTGCATCCTCCTGCGCTGCGAGCCGGGAGCCCCTGCAGAAAGAGGAGAGACCACCGAACCTGGAGAGCTTGGTCACCTCCAGCTTCCCCCCTCCCCCAAGAAACACGCCCCCTGCCCCTCCTGGCCCCTCCTGGCCCCTCTGTTTCTAGCCTTGACTTTTCCTCCTTTTGCAGTGCCGCTGTCTAGAGCCCAACCTCGTCACCATGAGAGTCCTGCTGGCGTCTCTCTTCCTCTGCACCCTGGCCGTGAGCAACTCTAAAGTAAGTGGGTTCCCTGTTTGATTTTGAAGGAGGGGACTCGCAGGACTCCTGAACAGCTCCAGGGGCAGGGAGGGGCTGCATGGGGAGCTGGAGTCCTCCGGACAGCATCAATAGGGGGGACTTGAAAGCCGAGGGGGTTTGTATGGTTGGGTAAAGAAGGAAGAAGCGAAGGGATGGTTCTAGCCTCAGGGCACCTGGTACCCGAAGGGATGGTTCTAGCCTCGGGGCACCTGGTACCCGAAGCTTACTTGCGACAATCCATTTCTCCCTGCTAGGAATCTAGGACTAGCTGTTGTAGGGCTAGTTAGTGAAGAATGGGTTTTTAGGCTGGGGGTCAGTTTGTCCTTACTGTGGAGTCCTAGGAACATGGAACCCTTGGTGACACCTCCCCACATCTCTTTCAGGGCAGCCATGAACTTCTAAAGTCGGATTCATGTGAGTATTCATTCCTTGCACAATAGTTGGCTGCACAGACATGCTGGAGCGCCTCAGGAGACAGCCCATTCCTGATTTTGCTTCTGGACTGGCTTTCTACTTGCCTTCTCCCCCTTCCTCATCCCACACCTTTGTGCCCTGCAGCAAACTGTGGCTGTCTGAATGGAGGAACATGTGTGTCCTACAAGTACTTCTCCAATATTCGGCGATGCAGCTGCCCAAAGAAATTCCAAGGGAAACATTGTGAGATAGGTATGAAGATCTCAACTCTAACTGGGAAAGAGTGGCCCCAGAGATTTCAGGGCAGGAAAGAAGGATGGGATACAAGAGCATACAAGGATAGAAGAGCATGGTAGTATGTACCTGTAATCTCAGCAGGAAAATTGTGTGTGTGAGACTAACTTGAACTACACAGGGCAACCCTATCTAAAGGAGAGAGAGAGAAAGAGAGAGACAGACACAGAGAGACAGACACAGAGAGAGAAAGAGAGAGAAAGAGAGAGAGAGAGAGAGAGAGAACACATGGAGGCAGAAGTTAGGAGCTCAAGGAAGGGTGAGTGACATCTTTACCCCTACATGATCTGTATGGTCTCACACACACAGAGTTTCATGAAGCAATGACTGCATAAATATGAGGTACAGATAAGAAGATACTTTCCAGTGTTATCTCTGCCAGAACGAAACCACATCATCTCTGATGTGTCCTCCATCTGAATGTCCTCTAATATCTTCTCATCTTCATATCTTTTTAGATAAGTCAAAAACCTGCTATGAGGGGAATGGTCACTCTTACCGAGGAAAAGCCAACACTGACATCAAAGGCCGGCCCTGTCTGGACTGGAATTCACCTGCTGTCCTTGGGAAACCATACAATGCTCACAGATCCGATGCTACTCTCCTGGGTCTGGGAAAACACAATTATTGCAGGTAAGATGGAGACCAAATACCAGGAGCTGTCCCTATGGCCTTTCAGAAACTATTGTTACATCATCTGCTCCTAGAGTGCTAGAATAACATGAAAAGAGTCAGGCATCTGGTTGAGCCTTTCGTTCAGGGAGAGATGGAGGATTGGAAGATGCAGGGTTGGAATGACATCCATGGTTGTCCTGTGTTTTACCAGGAACCCAGACAACCAAGGGCAGCCATGGTGCTATGTGCAGATTGGCCGACTACAGTTTGTCCGTGAGTGTATGGTGTCCCGCTGCTCTGTAGGTAAGTGTTACTGACTGCTTAGAACAGTGGGGTATAACATGAGACAAACTTATATGCTCCCGTCTTCCATCACAGGAAGTATAACTGAGTGGGATACTTTATCTTTCCTGCCTCTCCAAGTTATCCTTGTTTTTGTCTTACTCCTCCAGAACAAGAGTTCCAGTGTGGCCAGAAGGCTGTGAGGCCCCGCTTTAAAATTGTTGGGGGAGAGTTCACCAACATTGAGAATCAGCCCTGGTTTGCGGCCATCTACAGGAAGCACCAGGGAGGCTCTGTCACCTATGTGTGTGGTGGCAGCCTCATCAGTCCTTGCTGGGTGGTCAGTGCCACACACTGTTTCATGTATGTCCATTTCTTCTCGCTAGCCTTTCTGCCCCACCCCCAAATTCCAGGATTCTCCCTCATAGCCTCTCTCCAAGGCCAGGGGTGGGGGGGGGCGGGCTTGGAGACAATGATACTTTTCAGCCCTCTATAATGGGAAGGAAGAAGTGATGGGATTCTGGGAGAGCAGACTATCTGACAGATCTCATCTCCCACAGTAATTACCCACAGAAGGAAGACTATATCGTCTACCTTGGTCGATCAACACTGAACTCCATTACTCCTGGAGAAATGAAGTTTGAGGTAGAGAGACTCATCTTACACGAGGACTATAGTGCTGACAGCCTGGCCCACCACAATGATATTGGTGAGTGAAAACCCTCAACTACCATATTGATGGTGGTCAGGAAAAGAGGAGTCCAGGAATTGACCCAAGGAGGAGGTGGAATCGTAAGGGAACTTACCTGCCTTATACAGCAAAGGGAATGGCGGGGAAGAATTCAGCGTGAAATATATGTGAGGCCTGGTGCTCCTTTGTAGAGACCTTGAATTTCCCAAACATAAAGCCTTATGGGCATATGGCTTGAACTAGGAATGGCTTGTTTGGGCAAATTAGGATGGATGCATCTTCGGTCTACACTAGGATACAGAATTTAAAGAAAAGTGCCTTGGATGGGTTTTAGCTTAGCTTTCTCAGCGTTTTTCTTTTTGCACAAAACTGTTTGGCTTAATGTGGCAACCCTGGCTGCTTAAGTCTTCAGCAGCAGCGAGAGCAAAGTCCTTAGAACACTGAGAAGGGAAGGTTTCCAGATAACAAGTTACCAAAAGATCTTTCTGGATGACATATGACCCTAATAGACCTAGGAACAGACAATACCGCACTTCCTCAACATTTAGAAAGATTACCACTGGGTAATTTTTCCCTTCTGACCCTCTTCATTTTCTCTAGCCTTGTTGAAGATTCGTTCAAGTACATACCAGTGTGCGAAACCATCCCGTTCCATACAGACCATCTGCCTGCCCCCAAGGGTTGACAATGCCCATTTTGGCACAAGTTGTGAGATCACTGGCTTTGGAAAAGAAAGTTCCAGTAAGTGACAATTGTAGAATTGTGATGTGAGAGTGAGTGCAGTAGCAAATGAAGGAAAGCCTGGAAAGACATGGAAGTACTATGGAGGTGGCACATGGCTCCTGAGATAGAGCAGGGAGTATTGTTTAGGGAGTGGTGGGCTAGGCTACCAAGGGAAATAGTAGGTGATCGACTATGGAAGAGATAAAGACTCGTAGGGAAAAAAATAAGGGCTTTTGCTAACAGTAATACATTTTGGTTCCCCTCCCTGACAGAGAGGCACCAGACACCTCTTAATGTGAACTCCTCCCTGTTTTCTTCATCTAGCTGACTATCGTTATCCAGAGCATTTGAAAATGACGGTTGTAAAACTAGTTTCCCACAAGGAGTGTCAGCAGCCCCACTACTATGGCTCTGAAGTCACCACCAAAATGCTGTGTGCTGCTGATCCACAATGGGAAACAGATTCTTGCCAGGTGAGAATCAACTCTCTCTCTCCAAATTTTCCCAGAGCTCTTGGGCCTGACCCTGCTAACTTTGAGGAGTCTCTTTTAGCCAAAACTCTAGGAAGTCAGAATCAAGAGCTCAAGTCTGCTGGGCACTGGTGGCTCATGCCTGTAATCCTAGCTACTCAGGAGGCTGAGATCTGAGGATCGAGGTTCAAAGCCGGCCAGGGCAGGAAAGTCCATGAAACTCTTATCTCCAATAAACCACCAGAAAACTGGAAGTGGCGCTGTAGCTCAAGTGATAGAGCGCTCGCCTTGAGCTGAAGAGCTGAGGGACAGTGCTCACTCAGGCCCAGAGTTCAAGCCCCATGACCAACAACAACAAAAAAAAATTAAAAAAAGAGCTCAGGTCTTTGAGGGTTTACACAAATGTTTATGTGGTCCCCTATACATGTGGCCTGAGCTTGGCTGTGTGCTAGGCACTGCAGACCAGGGTGACTAAGAGGGCTTTAAGAAAAAAGGAGATAATGCAACGAAATATAACTTAATGCCTAGGATTCATGGAATGTGAATTATAAACAATCAGGTGAGGCTGGAAGTATCGTTCAAGTGATAGAGCACTGGCCTAATAAGCTAGAGGCCCTGGGTTTAATCCCAGTACCACTATACACAAAAATGTATAATTAGCCAGGCACTAATGGCTAATGCCTGTTATCCTAGGTATTCAGGAGACTGAGATGTGAGGATCATGGTTTGAAGCCAGCCTAGGCAGGAAAGGCTATGACACTCTTTTCTCCAGTTAACCATCAAAAACCTGGAAGTGGAACTGGAACTTTTAAAATGATAGAGTACTAACCTTGAGCATAAAAGCTCAGGGATAGTGCTTTGGTCCTGATTTCAAGCCCCAGGAGCAGTGCCTCCCCCCCCCCCAAATTAAAACTCTGATGTTTAGGAGAGGGAAGGGAAGCGTTAAATACAATGTGATAGGATAAGTATTTAAAGACTTGATGCTGTGGCCCTGTAAGCCAAAATACTTGTGACAATAATGAAGAAGGATCTGTAGTTTGAGGCCAGCCTAGGCTATTAGCAATACTCTGTTTCAAAACACAATATATATCTATATCTATCTAAAGGAGGTAGATGTAGAGATGGTATTTTAATGGAAAGATACAAAATTGAGACTGAACATGGTATATGCTAGAGGAGGAGCTTGGCAGATAATTAGTAGAAATACCAAACAGAGGACTAATATAAAACTTTGATGCTGGGCTGGGAAAGTGGCTCAGTGGGAGAGTATTTGCCTTGCATGCATGAGGCGCTGGGTTTGATTCTTCAGCAGAACATAAGCAGGAAAAAAAAAAGCTGGAAGCGGAGAGGGGGGAGGCTGGGAAGGGATGTGAAGGGTAAACAAAGGAGGAGGCTGCAATGCTTGGTAAGAAATGTACGCATTATCCTGCCCATGTATTGTAACTCCTCTGTACAGTATGTTCACAAATAAAATTAAATTAAATTAAAAAAAGAAAAAAGCTGGAAGTGGTGCTGTGGCTCAAGTGGTAGAGCGCTAGCCTTGAGCTGAAGAGCTCAGGGACAGTGCCCAAGCCCTGAGTTCAAGACCCACAATTGACAAAAAAACCCAACAAACAATAACAACAAACTTTCACGCAGTAGAAAACTAATCAAGGGAGTGACCCATGTCTTTGGCTCTAGTAACTGTCCCCAAGCTCTCTCAGGCATGGTTAGGTGGTGGGATCAAAAGGTCCAGGGCTCTTATCATATCTTTGGCTTATTAGGGAGACTCTGGAGGACCCCTTGTTTGCTCCACCAACGACCGCATGACCCTGACTGGGATTGTGAGCTGGGGCCGAGGATGTGCCTTGAAGGACAAGCCAGGCGTCTACACGAGGGTCTCACACTTCCTGAACTGGATCTACACCCACATTGGGGGTGAAAATGGCCTAGCCCTTTGAGCACCTCAAGGGAACAAATGGACGGACAACTGCCATGCTGACTGTCATCTCTGCAGCAGGGTCATCTCCATCAGCTCTAGGGAAGAGGCTGGGTGAGACAGGTTCTGCGGAGATGGTTTGCTTAGGCTGCCCACCAGGGTAAGCGATAATAGTTTTACCCTCAGTCATGGGCCTGTGCTGGACACCCAGACCCTCCTGGCCAGGATGGAGAGGTGGTCCTGACTTAGGATGGTTTTGATCAGTTATGTCTTCTTCTGGACTAGAGCCTCCTGGAGTTCAAAATGGTGTCTCCTGTGGATGGGTGAGAGGAGAGTTAGTTCCCCCAACAGAGTCATTCATGAAGCCTGCTCTTGGGAAATGAGTAATTTCCCAATTAGGAAGTGTAACAGCTTAGGTCTCTTGAGGGAGCTTGGCCAATGTGAGAACCATGTTTAGGGGGTAGAGACGCTAATCATTTGAGGGAGGGGCTCTGACATTCTACAAATGGATTGGGAAATATCATTTATGTTTGTGTACTTGGGCGCTGGCTATGAGTGTGAGCAAGTAAAAGAAGTAGAGCTGGTATGTTCCTGTGCCCAACTACAAGTCTAAACAGTTCCCTAAAACTGTGGACTGTGATGACACAGAGTGGTTTAACTGGAGATGTTATGGGTCACTACTGGGGCCTTTTAGATCTCCCATGTTATACTTTCTGTGATTGTAGCATTTTCAAGCATGACCTGTGACCAGCACTAAATGTCTGTTTCACTTTTATGTAGTTATCACTTTCTTGGCCAGTTAAACCTTCTGACTTATTAGCCAATTTTGTCCAATCCTCACTGGATGGGGTGATGACGACTCTTGTATACTGAATATTTAATAATTATATTCCGCTATTTTTATTTATATCTATTTTTATAATTATAAATAAGGGTGATTAATAAAATGTGATTGTTTTCCCTAAGGATTTTGGCTTTTCCCTTGTGCTTGTATTAAAGGGAGGTGGGGAGTATAAAAAGAAGAAAATGATGCATCCAAGTTTCTTGTCAGCCTTAGGCAGAACCTTCATGGGCAAAAACACTTGCATGAGTGAAACACTGCTGACTCCAAATGCCACTGAGAATCTGTGGCATTGAGGGAACAGAAAACGTAATTTTTCTTCATCTTTATGAAGCTGTTGCATTTTCTCAGTATAAGGTTTTGAGAGAGCAAAATTTGGAGAATTGTAGGGCAGGGCTTCCTTAGCCGGTAAGGGTACAAAATATCTCAGGGCCTCCCAGCTTTGCAAATTGCAGACAGGCTGAGTTTCAGCTTCCAATTACCTCCTCAACCTTATGCCTTCTTCAGTGTATATCTTGTGCGAATGCCCCCCTCCCCACCCCCCAGTCCTGGGTCCTGAACTCTAGGCCTGGGTGCTGTTCCTCAGGTCTTCAGCTCAAGGCTAGCACTCTACCTCTTGAGCCACAGCACCACTTCTGGCTTTTTCTGCTTATGTGGTGCTGAGGAATCGAACCCAGGGCCTCATGCATGCAAGGCAAGCGCTCTACCACTAAGCCACCTTCCCAGTGCGCCTCCCCCCTCCCTTTTTTTTGTCAGTCATCAGGCTTGAATTCAGGGCCTGGGCAGTGTCCCTGAGCTTTTCTGCTCAGTGCTAGTGCTTTGTTAATTTAAGCCACAGCTCCACTTCTGGTTTTCTTTTTTTCTTTTTGCTTATGTGGTGCTGAGGAATCGAACCCAGGGCCTCATGCATGCAAAGCAAGCACTCTACCACTGAGCCACCTTCCCAGCCCCACTTCTGGTTTTCTGATAGTTAATTGGAGATAAGAATCTGGGTGGGGGGGAGGGCGGAGGCTGGTGGGGGTGGTATGGGAGATGAGAGGGCAGGGATGATAAGGGGAAAAAAAGGAGGAGGCAACAATGCTTGATAAGAAATGTACTCATTTCCTTGTTCATGTAATTGTAACCCCTCTGTACAGTATTTTCACAATAAAAAAATTAGTTAAAAAAAAAGTCTCAGCAACTTTCCTGCCTGAGCTGGCTTTGAACCTCAATCCTTGCATCTCAGTATCCTGAGTAGCTAGGATTACAGGCATGAGCCACTAGTTGCCTGGTTAGTGTTCTTTAAAATTAAATGGATCCTATTTTCTTCACTCTGACACCCAAAATCCTTAGGTTGACCTCAACCAAGAAGAAACTTGCATGAGTAAAAATTGTTGATTCAAAGAACCAACCCAAGTCTGTGACCTTCAGGGAAAGGAAAACATTTATATGTGCAGCTGGTACTGAGTTTTTTCATTGAGCTAATGAAGCTCAGGCCAACCATTGCTATCCCTAAAATCAAAGAGCTTGAGACCAGGCGCCAGTGCCTCATGCCTGAAATCCTAGCTACTCAAGAGGCTGAGATCTGAGGATTGTGGTTCAAAGCCAGCCAGGGCGGGAAAGTCCATGAGACTTTTATCTCCAATATACCACTAGAAAACCAGAAGTGGCCCTGTGGCTCAAGCGGTAGAGCGCTCGCCTTGAGCTGAAGAGCTGAGGGACAGTGCCCAGGCCCCACGACTGACAAAAAAACAAAACAAAAAACAAAACCCAAAAAATAAAACAAAAATAAAAAACAAAGGGTTTGGAAATTAAAGCTAGATAATGTCCTAATAGGGATAATCATACATTTTGAGCCATATAATCAGATTCTGAAGGACTGGGAAGTTGAAGGCAGGGTGGGAGGTATAAACAGATGGCAAAATACTGGAATTTCCACCATATTAATGGGTTTTGGCAGTGTTTCATATATATATATATATATATATATATATATATATATATATATATATATATATATATACACATGCCTCACCTGTAGAGATTATGATTCAGGTCAGGGTTGATGCCAGAGATTATGATTCAGGTCAGGGCTGGTGCCAGGGCTCGTGATTTTAGGAAAGCTCACCAGGCATTTCAGATATGCACCACTGAAGTCAGGGTCTATTGGTTAGAACATATGAAGGACATAGAGAGTTCAAGTATAGTCAGCATGAGCTCTCTGCAGAAATAGCCAGTTTTCTGAGTGGGATCTTAGGAGTACAAGGATTCCCACTCTGTGAAACCCTGGAGGTAAAAACCCTAGAATACTGAGCCTTTAATCCCCATAATCTAACATGGCTTTATTATTATTTTCACTTGGGTGTGCTGTGAGTGATTCAGCATGGATTTTGGAGTCAGGTGGCTTCAACTGGAATCCTGGTTTTAATATTGTGTGGGTTGGAAAAGAATATCAGCCTTGGGGCTGGAAAGGTGGCTCAGTGGTAGAATGCTTGCCTTGCATGCATGAGACCCTGGGTTCAATTCCTCAGTACCACATAAGCAGAAAAGTGATAGAGCGCTAGCCTTGAGCTAAAGGGCTGAGGGACAGCGCCCAGGCCCAGAGCTCAGGCCCCACCACCGACCAGAAAAAAAAAAAGAAAGAAAGAAAGAGAAAAAAAGAATATCAGCGTCTCTATGCCTCAGTTTTCTAAATTATTTTTTTTAAAGGATAAAAAGGCTGGTTGTGATGATACATCCGTAACCTCAGGTACTCAGGAAGCAGAAATCAGGAGGATCACAATTCAAGGCCAGCCTAAGGGTTGTTAAAAGGATTTATGGCACATAATAAAAGCACCCAAACTGTGGCTACTAAGTACCTCCTCTAACTTCCTATAGACTTGAGTGGGAATTCCTCTCCCATCCGAGGGTGGCACTGAGCATTCTGTAAGAGTGGAAACTTGCTAAGAACGAAAAAAGCACAATTATCTGAAAGTAAAGTGCCCAACCCAGTCTGAGTTGCTGCTCAGCTTCTGTACTCCCTGCCAGGGGCCAACAAAAATCTTGTTCAAACTTGAGCAGCTCCAGCATCAGAGCTCCCAGACACTGAAAGAAGGAAGTATGAGCCCCACTGGTTCATTGAGCAACAAGGCTGCTAACACTCTTCAAACCATTTCCCAGTCACCATTTTCACCAGCTCCTCCCCGCCCCAGCCAGCTGCTATCTCTTCCCTACATCTTAGGGCACGCACCCAACCATATCTCCAACAACTTGTTTCAGAGCTCTAAATTCTTAGAGAATTCATACTTTAGAGACTGCCTTATTCTAGTGTTCTGATAGCAATGTGCTAAGATCTTCACACAGAATCTGCTGTACTATTCTTAGTCTCATCTCAAGGGAGAAAACAGAAACACAGCAAGATTGGGGGACCCACATGAGGTAACACTGCTGCAGCTGCAGAGCTAGGGTTTGAGCCCACAGACCACTTTTCCCAGTACAATGATACTTCACCTCGCAGAAGGGCTCGGACATAGAAAAAGAAAGCAGACTTCTTTTCAAGCTCCCTACTTGAGGGATGCTCATTTAGGTGATCATTCTTTTCTCCTAAAATGATTTCCAGTCCATGTGAGGACACCACACTTAAACACCACTTTTAAAGTACTTCACTTTTGTTAAGACAACCTCAGCCTTTTCTGCTGAAATCTGGTTTCATTGAAGTGGTTTCCGTTTTCACCAGAATTCTTTCTTCTGAAATATTCTGTGGCCCATTCTACTACCAGAACTCAACTTGATTTCTCTTTTTTTGTGTCTTTCCCAAGTCAGCACCTCACAACCACCACACCCCTGCACACTCATTTCCATTGAGTCCACCTTCCTCCTCAGCAGGAAACATCTGAGTTCTCCTTTGAGTCAGACACAATGAGAGTGGTTGCTATTTTCTAAATTTGTTCTATTGAGATATAATTCAGATACTATATAATTCACCTATTTAAAGCACACAGCTCCATTGGTTTTTAGTATATGCACACTCAGGCAACATCACAACCAATTTAGAACATTTTCATCATCTGAAAGAGATCCTAAACCCATGAGCAAGCATCCCTTTTCCTCCCTAGCCCCCTAAGCGCTAAGCAGCCTCTTATCTACTTTCTGTCTCTGTGGGTTTGCCAATTATAGACATTTCATATAACATTTAACATCATGATTTTCAAGTTTTATCCATGTTGTAGCATGTATCAGTATGATTGCTGGATTCTAAATAACAAAGTGGGGAGAAAAGACTGTCTAGGTTCCTTTTGACCTTGCAGCAGTTACAATGAGAATCAACCAACAATCCTCTCTCCACTTTTCCTCCTCCTTCCCCTTCCCTCCCTTCTTCCCTCCTTTCCTTCATTTCCTCCTTCTTTCCTTCCTTCCTTCCTTCCTTCTTTCCTTCCTTCCTTCCTTCCTTCCTTCCTTCCTTCCTTCCTTCCTTCCTTCCTTCCTTCCTTCCTCTCCCTCTCCTTTTAAAGTACCTACATTCCAGGCTTTCTTTTAAAGATACCTGACATTATAAGAACAGATGACACATTCCTAGTCCACAAAGAGTTCTTAACTTTACAAAGGAAACAGAATCATGATTATAACCCAATGAGATAAGCACTAAAATAAAAATATACATAAAATAATGATGAGGATGCTCTTTTTTTTCTGCTTTGGGAAGTGAAGAAAAACCTTATAGAAGAGATGATATTTCACTTCGGCCTTAAATATGCATGGAATTTGCCGAGGAAAGGCATTCTAGGCACAGGAGAAACAATGGCAGCATGAAAAGGCAGAACATCCCCAGAAATGCTGTCAGGATAGAGAAAAGAGTCTAGGAGCATGGAAAGTCAAAGAATGGTGGAGGAAGATGCTGGTAGGGGAAGGGCCTCATGTTCAACAGCAGAAACATAGTTTCTGTCCTAAAGTCCCCTCCAGTGGCTCACTGCCATGCAACCTTTCTCCTATCTTTCCGATCTAGCAGCTATAGGGTTAGTGCCTGGCACAGCATGGGCCTCACAGGGCCTTCCCTCCTCCATCTGTCCATCAAAGTGTTGGCACTGGGAAGTCTTGCTAGTTAAACATTTTGAATATTCCCTCTTTGCCTTTAGGTGTTATTTTTCAAAATTGAGAAAGTTAATTAAGGTCAAGAAGCCACTAAAATCTTAAGTAAAACTAAAAATCTCCACCTCCTAAATTATAAGAATGGCCATAAAAACAAAATACTCTCCACAGCATTCATAGCCAATAATCTCATAGCATTCTGGCTTTGAGAGTTTCCTTTTCAATCTCAGTGTCCTATACTTGGCTTGCCCCAAAGATTGATACTAAACCTTTTCTTCTACCTCACCCCTAAACTTTCTCTGAGACAATCACATTCAGGCTTTAATTATAGCCAACCGATGAGTCACAAATGCTTATCAACAGATTTCTCCTCTGACTCTTCTTTCTTATTTTCTATTGTCTACTTGGTGTCTTAATTGGTTGTTACACACAGGGTACCTCAAAGTCAACCTGTCTGAGATTGTTCCTGTTCTTAGGTTTCTTCCATCCCTCTCTAGCTGGAATGATGGCACTAACATTCATTCAGTTATTCCAACCAGAAGTCTA